AAAACAAACAATAAATCCTAGCCAGCATAAAAAAAAAAAAAAAAATCATAAAGTTGCAATGCCTTCCAACCCAATCCAAGCAACACATCCGGATAGGACGAACCGACTGAAATTTGAACTATTAAATTCATGACTAACTGGGGATGGCTTGTGTTATTGCATTTTTCTCCACTGACTGAAAAGTTTCTGGATCAATCTAAATCAGAGTTGGAAAAGTACTTTCACATTGGCAGAGGTTTTTGTTCATTAGCTGTTCACAATGTTCGAGAGTGCCAGCAGGAAGGTCTCAACCAGCTCCGTGCTGATTAGTCAAGCACACGCTAAACCTGGAAGCTCTAATTTGATTCAGTGAGACAATCACATGCAAAGGTCTTCAAGTGCAGACCTTTCCTCCGGTGAATAGCTGGCACTTTAAAGCTACTTGTGACTATCAAGTAAATATAACAAGATAACCAGATACGTATTGAGTAAAGTCTGAGATGTGATGCAAGCTATAAAAACTTGAAATTGTATTTGGTACAATTTTTTTTTTCTCATTTTGAAACAAAAATCAGCAAAGCAGCAAATTATATGCTACTTTGGTGTTTAATAACACCCTTGCAATCAGAAATTTACAACCCACATTAGGCCATTTGTCACTTTGCAAAGAACTGACTTTTGTCCTCTTCTGCTACTTGCAGATCAAAACAGATTTTATTTGAAGTAGGGAACAGTGTTGAACCAAACATTCCTTCTTTGCACTTGACTGGGTGATATAAAAGCTGTAGATATGGTAGAAAATCTTGACGCCGCAGCAGTTTTAAATAAGCTCAGTTCTAAAAGTTTTTTTTTGTTGTCAATAATCAAAAACCAGAAATAATCTGCAAAGGTTCTAATAAAACAGTAATATTGTTTCTTTCACAAATGTAATTTTCATTTTTTCATTAGGTATATGTTCATTGCTTCATCCATCTATTGACATTGCACAGGGGCAGTTTACCATGGCAACCAACCTGCTATTAAGAGCTCTACAGCTGTAATGCAGGAACAGACGTGTCTGCAAACTTCCCTTATGTTGGTGGAAGGACATGGCAACTTAAAAAGTAACTTTACACAAATAGCATACATGTTTCTATCCATCAGAAAACATTCAAATATTTTTTGTTGCGGAAATGTTATGGAAAATAATAAAAAAAAATCAATAGCACAGCTGAAACATATAAGCATCATCACTGCAGTACAGCTGGCTGCGACAACAAGCTAGAAAAACAATAGTTTCACAACCTCTGTGTTAAGTCATGTGATTGAGACCTTAAGCAGCTAAACATTGGTGTAAGTGTGTTTGGTAGTTTTCAGGTTTAGTGTGTGCTGGTTTGCTGGCGATTTTCACCGTTTTAAAACTTCCTGCAGCAATGAGTCACATGCTGGCAGCGCTCACATGAATGATGTCAAGGTGGTGAAAAACTAAATCACCATCAAACTGGATGTTTATTCATTTAAAGGTGCTGCGTGGCTAAATCATTTACATTAGACGTCTGTCCCACTGGTATTACAAATAACTAATCATTCAAAGTCAAAGACGTATGCAAGTCCATCAAGCACAAAACAACAAGCACACACTGATGCACAAAGACAAACTAGAGCTGGCAAGTCACCAAAACACTCAGCAGAGCCAATCTCCTCCTCACATTGCAGGCTGCGAATTCCCAGTTTGCTTTGCAGTGACAATAGGGTGTGTGTGTGTAGATAAAAAATAACACAGCAATCACTGAATGCAGGCACAAGGGCCACCAAACTAAATGCTTGGCCAAGCTGGCATTAAGACTTGTGTGCGCGTACATAAAGACCGACACACACACATACACACACACTTGTATATGATTAGGATTGGATATGCTTGCCAAGACAGTTTCCCCTCAGTACCAGAAAGCACTGAGGTGCAGAGCACCCAGCCAACAGAACTCAGCCTATGTAATGAAAAGGCAGTGTGCGACAGAGAGAGAGAGAGAGAGGAGAGGTGGGAGGTACAAAGACACAAAGCAATAAAGCATGCCGGTCACCAAAATTGCTGAAATTAATTGGTCACACCAACGTGGATTTGCATTTGCATCCAGCATGTGCACTTGGGTCTATGAGCAAGAAATTGGACGGCAGCAGTCTTCCTAAAAAGGGACATAAGGACTATTTCTGAGCCTTACTAAGGTCTAGTGAAAATGTGCCTTTTTCATATAGATTATTGGGAAAACTCTTAGCAGCATGTTGACAAGCAAGTCAAATCTCTTTATCGAGTGTTAGATAGAACCAAAGGAAAGTTTCCTTTCACAAAAGTCCTGTTTAAAAATTTTTTTTTTTTCCTAGTAATTCACCTCTAAAGTGAAACTTGTTTAGCATTCATTTCTATCATCTTTGATGATTTGAACCCACGTTTGGTTTTTTGCAGTGTGGGCAGGTGGGAAGTCCTGATGAAGAAATAAATCTGCATCACCACAGAGTTTGTCAGCAGAAGGAAATGTCCTGCACCGAATCTGGACTTGATCACATGGAGTGAACCGAATCATCAGGGAACTTAAATAACTCAAATTGTTTCATTTTACTCTTTCTCCAGAAAGTGAGAACTAGATTTCCAACTAAAATGTAAAATTTCATTTCATCTGTAAAGATGACTTAGGATCACTGAGTGGCATCTTGGTTTTCCTTTCGCTTTGTTCATGTAAGACGTTCTGATGCTTCCAGTTTAGGACTGGTTTAACACGAGAAACGGAATGCTGTTATCACTGTTGTGCACCTTTAAATGTCACTTTTTCCCTCCATTCAACTTTCCATTAATATGCTTACATCAGAGTCATCCGTCAGCTTCTTCAGCAATGATCTCGCTGTGTTCCCCTCTCTTTGTGGAAGGTACCAACGATTTAACAACCACATTTATTTTTGATCTTATGCAATATTTTCGTTGCAATTTTAGTTAAATGAAGGCTTGCAATATATGGGTTTCGCTCTTTGAAATATTCTCAAAAATAAAAGTTTTTCAATGATTTGATGAACCTGTATGTAGAACGCCAGCATGCTTTACGGGCAATGTGATAACAAAAGCTAAATCAAAGTTTTCCCTATCGCTGGACGTCAACTTCAAGAGTAATGATCTGTTAACGGAAAGAGGTGAACCATCAGACTCACGTCCTCGTTTCTCTCCTTCTTAGCCGAACGGTCGCAGTGGAAGCTGCAAATTAGGGCAGACTTGCTGAAAATGCCCACAGACACTCACACATTATTAACAGACATGGTCTCAAACGGGCCCCGGTTGTAAGGTAGTGCCAGTCCACTGCGCTTTGTGTGTGTCTGCCCTGAAGCAAAGCAGGCCTCCTCCCTTACACACACACTCGCACGCCATACTAAATTTTCAGATTTAGCCCGTGGCTGTCACCGACTACATCTTGGGTCAATTAATGAAATACATGCGATGAACATTAAGAAAAAAGAAAAAAAAAAGATTTAATTGCACTTCCAGTAAAAAAGTTTTTTTTTTTTTTTGTCAACTTTGAGTGGCTTATGAATACTGTAAACGCTGGTGACACCTCTGGTAAACGAGACAAAGAGAGAGAGAAAAAAAAACTATAATTTTAATAAAACCATTTTGAGGCATGCTAAATGTCAGAAGGGGAAACTGACTGAGATAAATTGGAGCTAGCTTGACAAACGACAGTAATTGTGTCAGTTGTTTCCAGCAAACCTTCAATACGTTTGTAAAGGAACAGACTGTGTGCACCTTCCCCCCCCCCTCTCTCTTTTCCACATAAGACAAGCCAGCCACGTTTTCTATTCTGATGTTCAGATTTCTATTAGTCAAATGAATAATTCATATTTAGGTAAACACACAAGGAGCAGAAACAGTGACAGATGCTGCAGATTGGGAGGAATTTACTTTGTAAAGGCAAAGACGAAAAGGTCACGGCTTTAGACGGCAGCTAATGAGAATCTCCGTGAGCATATAGTTAGTGTCAAGATGCTCCAGATTTTCTCAAACTTCGGTCCCGTTGTAGGCGTCAATTTGTATTTATGAATATGTGAACGCACATTCATGTGACGCCAAGTCATCATCTGTGAAATTGAAGTTTAATCTAAAATTAATTGTGCTGACCTGAACTTTGGATCGGCTCAGTATAAAGGGTAACGAGAAGCTGAAAGAGAAGATCGGCTCGAAAGAAACTCCTTCAGATTTCATTGAAAACGCTAGAGGAATAAAATGATGTCACCTCTGAACATAAAACCATGCGAGTGTGGGGAATTAAAATTGACTGTTTTTAAAATGATCCACGTCAGTATCTTTTTCAGTTCATGTAACGTTTCATGGTATGTATGGAGTCTATTAATGTATATCGCTCTGTAAATAAAATTTCTGTAGAAAAAGTATTGTAGAGGGAGCCGACACTTACGCATGCCATATCAAAGTTATACGACAGCAATCAGAAGTTTTAAAAACCATAAAAAGCTGAACAATCCTTCAGAGCTTTGCACATGTTGAATGATAATCTGGAATATTACATGGATGAATAATTATGTTTTATATGCAGTAAAATGAAAATGAAAAATAGATGAATCTTGGCATATCTAGAGAGTCTAAATACACTAGTCTCTAGTGTCAGGGGTCTGTCTGGTTTAGTAAAAATGACTCAGCTCTTCTGCAAAGTAAGCATACAAATTGTCATTACGGTGGATTGTTTAGGGATTTTAGACAGTTTTTATTTTCTTTTGGCTTGTGTGGTGAAAAATTAATGGTAGAAAGTTTCATGTTACTGTAAATGCGTCATTGGACCATTCAATTTTGGATTGTGGCATCCTTTTGCTTGAAGTGCATTAACTGGTAATTATATTGTGATGATAAAGAACACTTGCCTAAAAATACTTGACATATGTAAGGAAACAGGCAGGTGTATTTCTACTGGCCATGTAACTATGATTTTAATCTTTCAATAGCTAAGACGGTCTAAAATATTTCAGTTTTTTTTTTTAAACTACTGTATTTCCAACTTTAAAATCAGCTGAGAAATTTGTAGCTCTTCTAGCTTGAGTCTTGCATCACATCTTAGCTCCTGAAAAAACAAACAAAAAACTAAAATGTAACCTCTTTTCCCCTATTAGTGTAATTATCTATTCTAACCAATCTAACTTTACCACACTTTTAAAATTTGAATTAATTTCAAATAAAGGGCAAAAAAAAACAACAAACAGGAACAATGTAGGAAACCCACTTAATGATCCACCTACTTTAAATTTTTCCCCCCACGTCTAAAGTTTCACACCACTTCACAGGTGACAAATTGACAACAGCTGCCAGCAAGACGAGAATCCACAACTCCTGCTTTTATTAGCGGCAACTCAAGTGGATGATACAAATTGAGTAATGATCTCCTCGACGGCTCCTGCCTCAATATTTCAAAGTAAGTGATGATCTCCCAAATATAAGGGGGTGCTGCTGCATCCATATTTCACTAGAGAACAATGCAGTATAACTGACACACAGAGAGGCAGAAGAAATGTGCTTACAAAGCATCAAAGGAGCTGTATAGAGAGCTGTGGAATAATGTAAGGCGCTGCTGGATGGATGTAACGAGCTTCACAGCTACACAAATCATTTGCTCAAACAAAACAAGAACCGCGTGTCTGTCTGCCTGTGCAACGTTTGATTGGGCGCCCGTGTTAGTGTGAAACTTTGTGCATCATTTGCCCATATAACCCAGAGCTTCACTGTGATGCGAGTAAATGTGTTTGTGTAAGAGAGAAAAACATGCATCAGATGGTGGGGGAAAAAAAGCTTGAAAACATGCATATGTCTGTTTCCTGAATGCATGGCAAGCCTGATTTACTAACCTGAGATAAGCAAAGTGTGCATGAAAACGACAAACACAAAGAGGGGGACTCTCTGTGACTGGTGTGTCATGTCTACATGCGCTCACATTTTTGACTAAATGAATCATCAGACGAACTTAAATACACCACCGGATCACACTGTGCAGGGATGTGCAGCCAGATCCGCTCGCAAGTAGACGTGATCAACGTCTCACCTGCTCGGATAAAAGGAGAGGACAGAAGTTTGTGCGTGCGCGCACGCACACACACACACACCCACACACACCCAAGCACAGACACGCACGGAGACAACGGCACACAAAGAATAGATGCTGTGTAGTACAACAGAAATTGGGGCATGCATTATTAACTGATGGGATTCCACAGCTTGTGTTGGGATATTTGTATCTCAGAACAGACAGCAGGCAGCACCACAAGCAGACTTGATCTATGACAGCAACTAGACAATCAATAATTCAGCGAGTCAGCAAATCAATCAATACTTTAGCAGTTTCACTTAGAATAAACAGATTTTGACCTTTATTAGAGGATTTTGGATGTTACAGTTGTCGAGAGGGGTTGAGAGACAACAATTACCTATACATGCAACTGTGCCTTTAAAGAGCATTTGGGCCTCTTGAACTTTTTCTTATTTTGACAAATATGGAATCAAGTTGGTTTTATATGTGTATTTTATGACAGACCAAAACAGTGTAATGCGTAGTTGGAAGTGGAAGGACAATTACCTTTGGTTCTCTTTTTTATTATTTTTACAAATAAGAGTGAAGTATGTTTGTATTGAGACCGAAACAAAAATGCAATATGTGACTTGTGAATGAATGGTGAAATATTCTTAGGTTTGTAACTGCACCAGGACAAAATGTGACGGGGGAAAAAAAAAATCCAGGTGTGCAAGTAATTTTTTAAAGTATTATGCAGGTTTTCACCTGCTTCAACTGGTGTTTACCAAATACATATCAAAATCACAGACAATTTGATTTGATTTCATTTATGTGTCGAGATATTTCTGCTGATGTGTTGGGTATCAACATTTTGTTCCCCAAGTGAATTATGATCTACTTGTACCATCAATTATCCAGAATATTAATCATTTTGGTTTTATAGCAGGATCATAAACTAGTATCATAATGATGGTGGGAAAAAAAGGGAATATAAGGGCAAACAGAACTGTACTGAGGTAGAAGAATAAATCTCAAAAGTAAACATCAGCAACAAGACACAATTACAGACAGAGAGCAAATGAAACTTTGCAAAGAGAGCAAAGAAGATCAGGGTGTACAGAATAAAACTAATTATTATGAACGTGTCTGGCAGCAACAAACTGGCAGGAAACTATTACAAACAACCCGTGCACATTTTTATTTTAAACAAGATATATATTGCAGGTTTATTTTTATTGTTCTTTTTTTTAACTGAAGGGAAGAAAAACATCAATATTTGGAGCTACAGGTAAATTTGTAAAAACAACCTGAAAAGAGATTTAACTTGCAGTTCTAAAAATATACTATGTCTAGGTTGTAAAAAAATTAATACTCTGAAATGAATGTAAAAGGACTGAAATTTCACTTCGCTTTCATTAAAATGCGACAGCACTTTCAGTTGTTCTTGGTTTATCTGTAAAACGGCTACAAAGCATTAAAATGTTCAGGATGCAACGAGCGGACAAAGACAGAAAGCTTTGATGCAGTCATTTCCAATCAAAAACACAAAACCTGTGCCAAACCTGCTTAAATAAAACATCTTCTCAGACTTCAAACTTGTCGTTTTTCCTGATCTTTTCTTGATCTTTTCAGCACATTTAATAGAGCTTCTCAATAATAAAGGCCAAGACGGCGGCTGCTAGTGCAATGCAAATCCCCAGTTTCTTCAGCAGTTCTCTGTCCAGACTGCAGGAGCCGACCAGGAGCGCAGAGTCAGGTGGCACACAAGCAGCTCCTTTGACTCCGTTGGCCATATGTTCCTGTGGAGAGAAACACACACATTTATCTTTGAAATTTGCTACTTTACTGGCTTCTTGATAGGGAGTGTTGCTGATTGCTCCCCTCTTCAAAGAGATAAAGATTCCTATAGCAGCTTCAGATATTGACCTGACAGTAATCAAACTGAATGCTAGATAAGGTACCACTAACATGAGCTGCACAGCCTCAGTCTTCCTGCTCATTAGGTAAATACAGCGGTCAACTGGGAACTCATTTTAGATAACTGAATTTCAACATCCTGTGCAATATCCTTCTGACATGTGCCAACACACGGACATACACACAACAGCCCTGCTTCTTGTCTCACTCCGACTCGTGGACACAGATCAATGCAGCTCGTAAGCAAAGTGGATCTGCAATTCAAATTTCCAATCAGCTAGCCACATTCACAAATTAAGCGGCATCTCTGTTTAGTCTAAATGTTCCATTGCAGTCCAAAGATGGCCATCCATGAAAAAGTGAGCGAAGGAAAAGAACGATTTAGAGAAGAAAGATGAACTGTTAAAGACGTGTTCGTTAAACGTACAGTACAGTAACTTGCATTATTGGTGTGGATATGTAAAAAAAAAAAAAAAAAAAAAAGTTACAAGAATAAAATACAAAATAGTCTCCATGTGATTTTAAGATCCTTGTATTTTAAAGCCGTATTGCAGTGCTATTAATAGGTCTACAAGGGCTCTGTATAGTGGAGGTTTACTGAACAACAAATTAGTTAAATCATATTTCTTTTAATTATAAGAATGTACAGAACTCTGCTCTTTATAAATAATGGATGTTAATAATTATTTACATTTAGAAATACAGCCAATAATCCACTTTATATTAGCATTCAATGATATAGTAGTGTAGTATTAAAGTACTCGTACTTGCCGAGTCCTTGTACTCCCACCTTCCCAATTTTAACATCTGTTTCCTCTCTAAAACTGTTTTTTATGATTATGACAACAGAATGAATGTTTTTTTTTTGTTTTTTATGAAGAGCTTCTCTCAATATTTCCTAAATGAAAGTGATCGTGAAAGCAGCCATTTGCTTATGCAAATGAGTGCATTTCAATTACATCTGTGTTCGCAGTTAATGCAGTTTTACACTGATCTGATTACCTGAGAGTGCCGTCTATTGAATAAAGGATGATGAGAGGGTGGATGTTGAGGCAGTTAGGGAGGGATGAAAAAAAAGTGATTTTGCACTTTGTTATACCCCCCCCCCAAAAAAAAAGAAAAAAAAAAAAGAAAAGAGTTTATGTTACATTAGGCTGAACTTGAGATTTACGAGTGAATCTACTACAGTGACTGTTGTTGCGTGAGGCTATTAAATACCTGATCTGTCACTAATAATAAGTCATGCGAATCCAAACAGTTTGCAAGTACAGCTTGTTTTTAAACTATTCAGTTACTATGTTTACTACAGTTCTTGCTTTTAAGCCTCACACCCTCTTCGTTATCATGTCTGATTAGACCTTTATTTAATTTCATCTACTGGTATGAAAGTGGAAACCTGCGGCGACAGCTAAAGCTATGCCAGGTGATTGCTAAATAAATAAATAAAATCTGCACAGGATGCGATCATTTTGGTTGGAGCATTAAACAAATTGGATGAGAGCACCGACACACAACATGTTTGGGTGGAGTGGAAATCAATGTGGATTACTTTGAGGTGCCTTCTGGGTATCTCCTGGATGACAGTTGGTAAAATGGCATTTCAATATGGTAAATTATGCACAGTGGTATTGAGGAATTGATCCAGATATCTGGAATAGCCTTTACGTTTACTGTATAGTTGATTGTGGGAGGCTTGACTGATATCCACCCGTAGGGATCGACTCGTTTAATCCCTCTCTGCTGTCTTATCCGTCACATTTTTTTCAATTCGATTTCTTCATGATGTGTTAAATAAGAGATTAAGTATTAAATGATTAAATTTATATTTCAAAAAGAATTTAGATTTTATCTGCGAGGCCTGCTCAAAGTAATACATGATTCTGATGTGGAAGGAAAAAGAGGCATTCGGCTAGAACAAGCAACGCAGGCAAATATAATGTTAATCTGAGATTCAGCCACTCAAATGGGAGAATTTGTGTACATGACAACTATTAATGATGCACTCTACGAATCTTGACCTTACTTGTAAGCCTTGTAGGTGCTAAATGGAAGAAGGTGTTTAGTCAGATAAAAGCAAAACTGAGGATTTAACCTTCATACACAATGCAACATGCAGCAGAAATCTAATACTCCATATCATTCTAAACTATGTTTTTCTTCAGAAGAAACAGCAAAGCTGGTCAGAGTTCATGGGAAGACAGGTGGTGTTAAACCACATGCAATTCTAGGAAAACAAACAATCAACGACAAAAAAAAAACTTCTTATGCTGTGAAAATTGTAAGACTGGAGTGTGAAAGTTCACGTTTCAGCAGAACGATGAACCTAAACATACAGCCAGAGCTACAGAGGAATGGTTTGGATCAAAACATCTCTGTGTGTCAGGGGCATCAAGGACAAGTCCAGACCTAAATCCAATTGAGTCTCTGTAAAGAAATGTTTTATGTTCACAGATCCTCTCCATCCAATCTGACTCAGCTTGAGGTCTTTGGAAAAGCAGAATAGGAAAACCTAGCAGATAAACAAAACTGCTAGAGATGTACAATTTGCAGCCATAGGTGACTCTACAACATATTGAGTTAGGGGCTGAAAAATAATACTGAATGAATGAATATAAGAATTCATTCTGATTTACAACAAAAACAGCAGGTTTTATATCTGGACATAAAACCTGTATATATGTGTATCTAAGTATATATACAGAGAGAGAGAGAGAGAGAGAGAGAGAGAGAACAGAATTACCCTTTAATGCCCCATGGTGGGATAATCAAAAGTACCAAGGGCAAGTTAAAGGTAAAAGTTAAAAGGAAGCATGAATATAAAACTAAGATAAAGAAACAATATAAAAATAATCTATACAGTAAGGCCTAATTTACAATGTAACAATAATACTGTAACTGAAAATAGCCCACAGATGAAAAGTAATAAAAAAATCCACAAGATGTGTATATTTGTGCATAGAAAAACAATAAAACTTTTTACAATAAATCCAAAACAAAAAAAAGGACTGAAAGTATAAACATGGATGTGCAAACAGCAGCAGGAAAGTCATTTAAAATTAGGACAACTGAGAAATTACAATAGAGATCCATTAATGGAAAGTGTAAAGCCATGAAAAATATTCTTTATCAACAGAAAACTTGAAAATCATCCTGGAATGTACGCCATTTCTCTCATAAATTTACCGTGTGAACTATCACAGAGAAGCGACAGACCTGGTTTATGAACCCCTATTCAACACCAGCTGGTATGTGGAGTCTGCATCAGCATGCAGCTGAGCACACCTGCACGTGTTGCATGCACATGGCTGGATGTCCGAGCAGCTGCTCAGCGTCTGCCCTCTGTCTCGCTTATCCTCGACATTTCTTCTGTTTTTCTCGCTCTCACTTATGGTTACAAACACCACGCTGTCACCCACTCCTCCTTTCACAGCTTCATTATGAATGCTTCCCTCTGTGAAGTCGCACAATGGAGGATGGGTTCTATGACCACCGCCGCCTTAGTGACACATCCACGGACAGAGAGTCAGTAACGTGATTCTGGGTGACACATCAACGTTTTTTTTTTTGTTTTGTTTTGTTTTTTTTAAATGACAGGATTTGAACCAGGATGCCTCATGGAAATGTGATATCGTTTTTTTGTTACGAGAAATGCTTAGAAAACTACCATGGTGCTTTCAGATAGGGAAATTTGAAAAATTTTCAAAGGGATTGTCATGACGGAAGTTCTTGTGACTAAACCTCTTCACTGTGGTTGTTAGGTTTTAAATACTGGCTGAATGCCTGGAGAGTAAAAAAAAAAATCTAAAGTGCTTTCTGGAAATAGCAGATGCAGGTAAATTAATTATCCAAATTTGGAGTTCAAACTACTTATTTCTCTTACTTAGGAAAAGTCCAAAATAAATATTTTGATAAAAAAATAATAATAAAAAAGAGTTGTAAAGTGCAAAGTACTAATAATTAGAAAGTTGAGAAACTAAACTATTATCCTTCTTGCTGACAGGCTCAAAACACCACCGTCTTCTTGATGCTTTTATTTATCTGTTTCTCTGCAGGTGTCTTTTAACAACAGGGTGCCTGGAGACTCACTGAATAGTACAGTCTAAAATCTATTACTACTAGGGAGGATAAGTGAAAATCCAAGTGCCAGTAGGTGCGTGTCAGCACAGTGGGAAGAGATGGGAGGAG